CACTTTGTTTGGGAGCCCACAAAAGAGGGCATACTTCTGCTGACTGTAGCACTAGATATGTACTAATTTCAGAATTGTGCTGACTGTCAATAAGGTTAGGATACAAAAATCCTACTTACGTTGATTTTTTTTAAATAAGAACAGTCATGTAAATTTTAGCTCTTTTCCTTACCTTGTCAAATCTTTTTTTTAAACTTTTCCTTTATTTCTAGTAGTTTACATTTAACTGAGCCATTACAAACATTGAATCTATCTCCCCTTGTAAGTACTCTCACACTTCTCAACTGTCTGTATTGGGCTAGCTTGATTATCACTTCAAAAGTTTTTTTCTCTTAATTGGCCTCTCAGAGTTGGTAAGACAACTCCCACCTGTTTATGCTCTCTGTATGTGTGTATATATATCTCCTCAATATATGTTCCATTCTTTATGCATCCGAAGAAGTGGGCTGTAGTCCACGAAAGCTTATGCTCTAATAAATTTGTTAGTCTCTAAGGTGCCACAAGTACTCCTGTTCTTCTTTTTATAAATTTCTATGTATTAATAAACAGACATTACAGTATAAAACAGAACAGAAACAGGAGTTTGTAATACATCTTTATGTACTGCACAGATATTATATGGTGTGTGCTGAACTGCCAAGCTGTAACAGAATTATTGTATGCTGTGGTGTTGTAGCCATGTCAGGTCATAGGATATTACGGAGACAAGCTGGGTGAGGTAATATGTTCTATTGAACCAACTTTTGTTGGGGATTGAGACAAGTTTTGGGGCTTGTGCAGAGCTCTTCTTCCAGTTTGCCAGCCCTGAAATAGAGCTCTGTGTAAGCTCAAAAGTTTGTCTCTCTCACCAACAGAAGGTGGTCCAATAAAAAATAACACCTCCCCACCTTGTGTCTCTAAACTGTCACAAGGGTGACCAGAGAGCAAGTGTGAAAAATTGAGACAGGGGATTGGGTAATAGGCACCTATACAAGACTAAGCCCCAAATAACAGGACTGTCCCTATAAAATTGGGACATCTGGTCACCCTAGCTGTCACTGAGCAGATAATTTGAGAATCCCAGCTGTCCTGTGCTCCAAAAACTCCCATAAATTTACTAAACTGCCACAGGAAGTATATTTACAAAACATAAGTATCTATCAAATGCCTGAAATGAGGAAGTGCTGATGGCTGTAAAAGACTGCAGGAGTTGGAGGAGAAATGGTGGTGCCAGAGTATTTGCTGTTGCACCAATAGCCACTTATCTATCCACAGCAGGAGTAAACAAGGGTGCCTAGAGATACTTCCTTCACTTCCACCTCCATCTACCCAGTGCCCAGCCCAGCTTCTCAGGATTGGATGCAGGACTGAGGACTTGGGCCTTAATTTCAAGACTTTGAGAAATTTATACAAACCGCCGCATGAGACAGCAATAAATGATTGATGGCTGTAGGCAGATATCCATAGCTTCTGACTGGCTGGTCGTCTTTCCTAAGGAAGCATAGGAGCTCTTATTCAGACTCCAGTAGCAATCTCTATAATTACCCTTTAAACAAAGCTGTGTGAAAATAACCATTTTTTACTTGATAAAATGTTTACTGCAAAAAAATGAAAAGTTATATGATGTTACAGGAAAATTAGTTCTGGTCAAAGAGAAATTGTCATTCACTTCAGTGAGCTCATGAAACACACAGGAACTCTCAGGATTTTTGAGAGATCTGCTTAATTTTTATGGAATTTGCACAGGAGATGATTCCATATGACCATAGGTGCCAATTTCCACTGTTCCCGGTGGGTGCTTGACCCCATCCCGGCCCTGCACTGCCCTCACCCCACCCCCATTCCACCCCCTTCCCCCAAGTCTCCCACCCCTGCCCTGCCTCTTCCCCACCTACTCTCCTGAGTGCGCCACATCCCCACTCCTCCCCCCCTCCCTCCTGGAAAGTCCTAAGCATTGGGAGGTAGGTGGAGGAGCAGTGCGCTGGGGGGGGGAGGGGAGGTGTAGGGCAAGAGGGGAGCTTGGCACCCACTAATTTTTCCACGGAGTCGGCACCTAAGCATAAGACGTGCCTGTTTCCTTTTTGCCAGTGAAAACTGCTTTTTACCCTGATGAAACTGGGAGTGGAACGTTTGCTGAAACAAACGGCTTTCTCAGACAAACTGATTAGGAGGAGAGATCTGGAAACGGGGGGAAATGGAAGCAAAAACTGCTAAATATTTTTCATTTTGGTTGACTGGCAAATATATGAATCTTTTTGCTGGTTTTACTAGCAGTGAGAATTTTTTCCTCACTGATGTAGAAACCCTGACACCAAATAAGGTAGAAGACTTAGGAAGGTTGAAAGTTGAGTCCTGAATTAATTAGAACACAGTGATTATCCCAAGGAGGACATACCCAGCTTGGAGGGAAAAAATGTGAATGTAATCACACGATTTTATAACTTCATTAAAAAGCAAAGACCCACCGAGTTGAGCCATAGAAAAAGGCTATTTACACAAAGTGTTAGGAGCCATCTGCACAGTCTGAAGGGAGCTGTGGGATGCTGGCGTTTGTGCTCCTTTTAACATATTTCACGCTCATTCCACCTGTAGGACAGCAGTAGGAATTCTATGTGCAGGAGCTAGTGTTGCAGAGGCCCTGAATATAGCCACTCTTCAATATCCATTTGTTTATTTGAATAACAATGGCCCCATCCCACTCCCATTGAAGTCAATGGCAAAATTCCTATTGATTTAAATGGAACAGAATCAGGCCCAGAATTTTGCTGCAGGCTTTCAGCTGACTACTCTGTATAATATATTATATCATAATGTACTGGCTGGAATTCATAGCCTTTCTCTGACAATTAACCAGACACTGCTCTGATTGTCTGCAGGGAGTCATGCAGGGTACGGTCCCCTACCTTGGCACCTTTCTTACAGACCTGACCATGCTTGACACAGCGCTGCAGGACTACATAGAGGTAGGTTTGTACAACTTCTTGAATTATAACCCCTCTCCCTGCAGTTGTGATAATTGGGCCAACAAATTTACTAGCCACCACTGAGCACAAATCCTGATGGTTCTGTATGTTTCGCTTTTGTCACATCCTCATATGAAACATTCACAGACGTATAGAGGAGTTTGCAGTGTCAAAAGTTATAGATGGGGAGGATGAGCAATATTTTTATTAGGAAAAAAAGATCTCTACTGAATTTAATAATGGAGCTTATTTACTAGGACATTAAGTGTGGTACTTTATGCTCAACATTTATGTTTTGCTTGAAAAAATCCTAATGAGAGTATAAAAGTTTTTATTATTTTATTTTAATTAAAACTTTTTTAAAAATAGAAACTTCCCCCCTCCGTGTTGGGAAACTCAACACCACAAAATTGTCTTAAGTTCAGCTCTTCAACTTGAGAAGTTAAGTTCTTCAACATGCTCTTACTTCATTTTGTAAGTGTTTGAGCACTGAAGACCTTTGTGAGTAAGGATTCTCCCTCCTCTTCAGCTGGCCAATCTTAGTGTAGGCAGGGAAGGACAGGCCCAAGAGATTCTGACCAGGGGGCAGAGGTTCCATAGCAGGGGTCGGCAACGTTCGGCACGCGGCTCTCCAGGGTAAGCACCCTGGCGGGCCGGGCCAGTTTATTTACCTGCTGACGCGGCAGGTTCGGCCGATCGCGGCCCCCACTGGCCGCAGTTTGCCGTCCTGGGCCAATGGGGGCGGCGGGAAGCCGCGGCCAGCACATCCCTCGCCCGCGCTGCTTCTCGCTGCCCTCATTGGCCCGGGACGGCAAACCGCGGCCAGTGGGGGCTGCGATCGGCCGAACCTGCCGCATCAGCAGGTAAATAAACTGGCCCGGCCCTGGCGAGCCACGTGCCAAGCGTTGCCAACCCCTGTTCCATAGTATTCCAAAGGTGAATAGAATGGATGGATCTGAGGGTGAAGAAGAGAATTGGAAAAATCACAGGTGAATTATGAGTGAATGGGACATGTGTGGCCAGGTGAGTTTGAGTGTGACCAAGGATCAATGAAAGAAAATATGGGGGGTGATTTGCAGGAAAATGGGTTGCACTTTAGGGTCAGCATTTTAAAACTTGGCTGTTTGAAGCTGGCTCCTAAATCCTTATTTAGGCACCTATATAAAAATGGTCTGGTTTTCAGAGGTTTTAAACCCCTCAAATCCCAGGGAAGTCATTGGGAGCTGCAAGTACTCAACACCTTTGAAAATCAGCACACTTTTTTGGATGCTTTAATATGGAATTAGGAGCTACACTTGAGGTATTCAAGTTTGAATATTTTGGTGTTGATGTTTGTAGTGAGGATGGGCTAGAATGTTTTTGGCTGCGCTAGTAAATTTTCTTGATAGTTTTGCAAGGATCATCTAAAGGAAGCAGCTGTGACTCAGAATACACACAAAACTTAATTCTGTACTGGGTTTGTTTGCCAGTTGTGTGTGTATATGTATCCATGTGTGTTCACTTGGTGCTTACAAACTCAAGGTTTGGGAACACTGGCTTGAGCCACTTGTAGTGCAGGCAGAAGTCAAGCAGATTTCTCACACACAAAGTTCTGACAGCACACTTCAGCCAGACCTGAAGCATGCTATATCTGTTTCAACATTGGAACTTCCTTCTTAATCAAACTGCCATTCAGTCCAGAGACAGAGCTCCAGTAGGGCCTAGCATGCAGCTGCCAAATTCTTTACCAATCAGAAAACTCAGGTCTCTAGAAGGTCCTTGCTCAAAGAGACCATATGATTGAATTCAGCACTTCTTTCACTCTCTGACTTTATTACACTGCTGTTGAATATATGCACGTTGGATTCTTCAGTGGTCCCTGTTTTCTTTGCTTCATACAGGGTGGGCTGATAAACTTTGAGAAGAGGAGACGGGTAAGTCTGAACTGCTTCCATGACTAGCATTTTGCTGCCACCCTGTTGTAGGGAATCCTGCTTGTACTTTACTTTAGGGACTTACTCTTTTCCCCTGGTGCATTCCCAACGACCACTGACTTCAATGGGCGTTACCTGCAAATAAAGATAGAACAGTGGCAGGGCCGGCTCTGGCTTTTTTGCCGCCCCCGCCCGCCCCGAGCCAGAGCGCGGCAGGGGAGCGCGGCAAGCCCGTCGCGGCTCCGCTGGCGGCCGGAGCGCCGGGAGGAGGGCAGAGAGCCAGGCCGGGGCCCCACTCTCCCTGACCGGCCGGAGTGCCGGGAGGAGGGTGGAGAGCCCGGCCGGGTCTCCGCTCTCCCCAGCGGCCAGAGCACCGGGGGGAGGGCGGCGAGCTCGCCACGGCAGCCAGAGTGCTGGGGGGAGGGCGGCGAGCCCGCCACAGCTCTGCTCATCCCGGCGGCGAGCCCAGTCGCGGCCCCGCTCTCGGGCCGGAGCCCCGCACTGCACCCTTCCAGGTGCCACCCCAAGCACATGCTTGGTGGGCTGGTGCCTGGAGCCGGCCTTGAATAGTAGACCGCTATGTGTGTGAGCCCACACAAGCCTGAAGAGGCTGGGGAGTGAAGGAAGGACTGCCAATAATTAGATGGGTGCTACAGGGGAAAGGAAGTCCTAAGCACTAGTCAGTATACTTCTAGAACATTTATGCATGGGAACTGTACATTCACTGCCTCTGAGCATCAGTGGAAGAAGTCTGTTATCTCATAAATCCAACGTATCAACAGCAGAACAGACCTGCTAGTAAGTGAAGTTTGCTTTTTAGAAAGCATAGCATGAGTCTCGTAAACTTCCTTAGTTTGCTGCATTAATCTGCTTCATTGGATCCAAAGAAAGGATGCGGAGGAGAATGAAAGGGTGACACGGGGCGGAGAAATAAATGCTGTCTGCCTGCCCTTTCAGTCTGCCCTGCATTGGTTGCACAGATAAAGAGGTAAAGAAAAGCCACGTAGAAGGCAATGTGCTTGGGTCATATCTGTCTGAATAACGACAAACCAAAGGCAAATCTCCTTTTCAGGGACTCAGTGCAGACTTTGATTTTTGCTGTGATAAGGCCCATTTCCTTACTCTTAACTGATTCCCAGCTCCATAAACCACATTTTAAACTTCCCTTTTATTTATGACTGGGTGGCTCAGAGTATTGGTAGAGGGGCACAAAAGCTCCTGTGACTAAGTCGCCGGCCCAGTTCAGCCCAGATTGGTAGTAAATGAAAGTTGTTGCCATCTGATGGTTGGTTGGTAGTCTCAGTCCAGTTCCTAGGTGCTGAGTCTGCCCTGCCTTCCACCCTGTGCTGTAATTTACCCCTCAGCAAAGCATGTGTAAAACAATACCAAATCCAAATTCTCCATTCGTTCACACCAGGGGTAGCATGTCACACTCACGTTACACAAGTATAAATGGCTGCACAACGTACAAGGCAGTGGAAGGCAGATTTCTTCATCAGTCAACGCTATGGACACCCTTGTTTGTAGTCTCAGCAATGTAAGGACCGAATAAGCACAGAGAATGAATTCCCTCTAAGGGTGGTCCATCTGGGTCAGGGATGAGGCATCTGAGTGGAACAGTATGTGGAAGCTTTCACTGCTATTTTCCATGATGTCCCTAGTCGATGACTTCAGTGTGCAGCACCGTCATTCTGGCATCTTATGCCAGTGCTAAACTCACATTAGGGTTTGTCTCTCTCAAAATCAGTTCTACTGAAAGGCAGAGTTCCTGGTGTTGGGAGATTGTCCTATTTTTCCATATTTTAACCTGTGGAGCTTTGATGAAACTTGTAAAAACCTAAAACCTGTTTGGGAAAACAAAAGACGGATTTCGTTGTTGAAAAACTGCTTTGTGGTGTCTAAAATTGCCTGGGTATCCAGTTAAGAATGAAGCAGTCTTTAGTTTGTCCTGTGGTTATTGGTGCGTGTGTTCTGCCCACTTATCCTTGCTTTGTATGTGAATGAGTCTGTATTTGGCTTTGTTTTGATTTCTCATTAAAATTCCTATTTGATTATTTGTTTCCTTAGGAGTTTGAAGTAATTGCCCAAATTAAGCTCTTGCAATCTTCCTGTAATAGCTATTGCATGACGCCAGACCAAAAATTCATCCGATGGTTCAGGAGACAGCGGCTGTTAACAGAGGAGGAGAGGTGAGACTATCAATGCACTCAAGGGAGCATGTTTTTCATGTCCAGCCTCCCATCTATGTGTATGACCTATGTCTGGCTTAGATAGTCTCATAGTAATTTAAATATACTGTAAATCAAGGATACAGCATGTATGTGTGCCTTTTAGCACACAGCTGGTGAAAACTTGGTTAACACTTTGCAGGATTTAGTTTTGAGATTGGGAATTTGGTTTTCAACTTTAAAATGTTATAGTGTGTTTTGTCTGACCTGTATGTCTGTCGGTCTGTGTGTGTGCATACGTATACACTCAGTATTACCTAGAGGTGTGAACCTATGATACATACTTCATAGTACTATAAAATTCATCGTCAAAGGACACCGATTTCAACTTAAACAGAGTGACGGTGTTCAGTCCCATCCTGCACTGTATATATAATCCCTTTTCTGAGATTGCTTTTATGATATAGTTAATATGATCAAAAAACACATTTGAATTCTTTTTAAACTATTGTAAAAAAAAAGCAAATACTCCTTTCCTCAAGGTACAATGCGTGCAGGCTGATGTTTCTCTGTGCTGCATTGCGGTAATCTCTTGTTGGAACTGGAGTAACTGAATATCTCTCTCTTTAAATTATTGCTAGTCTGAGGCCATATTGCATGATGATAAAATGATATTTAACTCCCTCAAATAAATAAATCTTCCCTGTTGTAGTTATGGCCTCTCATGTGAGATAGAAGCAGCTGTTGACACTAACACCACATCACCGAAACCTCGGAAGAGTATGGTGAAGAGACTCAGCTTGTGAGTATGACAGAAGGGGTAATGGCATCTGGTGAATTAGTAGAGGAATGACCTGAATAAATCAAACAAGAAAAATGTATTCCACCAGACGAGGAACTTGGCAGGGAATCTGATCACTTTAAAGGGACATTGTCAGCTAAAAGTTCATAATTACATCTGCAAGTGTTTATTGAATTATTGTTCCAGGTAATACTTATGATGACTACAGCTGAAAAAGATTACAAACAAATCATTCAGTGGTTACCAGCCTTTTTGGGGTATAGGAGAAGTAACAAATTTAGGGCCCACTTATAAACTCAGTGACGCTGATGTTGCTCAGGAATAACGTCACCAAATACAATGGAATTATACCGGTGCAAAAGCAGAGTAAATGAGATCAGACTGAGGCCCACAGTTGGTTTAATTTATTGTATGTGCAAAAATTTTCTGCAGAATTTTAACATGAAAATTAGAATCACCTAATTTATTTATTTAAAAAATTAAAAAGTCTCCATGAGCTGCCCTCAACCCTGCCCCGAGCACCGACTCCGCAGCTCCCATTGGCCAGGAACCATGACCAATGGGAGCTGCGGGAGAAGTGCCTGCAAGCAGGGGCAGTGCGCTGAGCTACCTGGCTGCCCCTGAGCCTAGGAGCTGGACATGCCGGTCGCTTCCGGGAGCTGCTTGAGGTAAGCGCCACCCGGAGCCTGCACTCCTCACCTCCTCCCGCACCCTAACCCCCAGCCCTGAGCCTCCTCCCACACTCAAACTCCCTCCCAAAGCCCGCACCCCCTCCTACACCCCTTGCCTCAGCCCTGAGCTCCCTCCTGCACCCAAACTCCCTCCCAGAGCCCATACCCCCTCCTGTACCCCTGCCCCAACCCCCAGCCCAGAGCCCGCACCCCAACCCCCTGCCCCAGCCCGGTGAAAGTGATCGAGGTTGAGGGAGAGTAAGCAACAGAGGGATGGGGGATGGACTGAGCAGGGGTGGGGCCTCAGAGAAGGGGTGGGATGGGGCAAGACCTTGGGAAGGGGTGGGACAGGGGGCGGGGCAAGGGTGTTTGGGTTTGTGCAGTTAGACAGTTGGCAACCCTAAAATCATCCTGTAAGGTAGGTACGTACTATCAACCCAGTCAAACATTCAGTCTAGTTCAGACAGATGATCAGGAAACGTTGCTTAGCAATTCAAGCACAAGATTGTGGGGAGGGGAGAAAGAGCATGGAGCCAAGAGTTGGCTAAAGAGACAAAGATTAGAGAAAGGAAACAATAAAGTGAGAGAATCTGAAGGAATGTAGGGAAAACCGGGGGAAATGGGAGCAGAAATCAAGTGGGCTCAGCAAAAATGTGTAGAACCTCAAAGGTGAGCGTGATATGAGAGAAGACAGGAAAATATTCATGGAGGGGTGACATGGTCAGGACAAGAGGAGATGATGAATTTTACAGCCAACATCAGAATTAATATGAAGACAAAACCTGTCTATTAACTCCTCCTTTCCTGCCTTGGTCTTTCACCTGGGTTCCTCAGAACAGTGGACAAACATAAATTCCATGCAAGCTCTGTGGCAATCTAGGATCCTCAGCAATAGACTCTTGATGGCTGTTTGTGTCAGTTCTGGTCCTCATAAGATCAGGGCAGCTGTTTGGACAGGAAGGTGTTTGTGTTTGGTTTTGTCCCTTGGAGTTGGTTATGAAGAGGTGTGGGAATGGCAGAGTTGGAGACTGAAGCTGCTGTGTCTGAATCAAGTTGTGTCTCTAACTCTCTCCCCCTGGCATTGTGCCTAAACTGTGTATGGTAAGTGTCACTGTTGAGTACTGGGTTTATCCTTCTATTTCCGACCATATTTCAGTGTAGCTCTTGTATTATAAATTAGCATAAAATAGTTAGGCTGAGGTATTTGTGTTTGCTGTATAATCTTTGTTTTAAAAATTGTGGTACCTGCAATCTGAATATATTTTACAAAATAATAGTGCTTGGCATAATTCTTCCCTGGACGTTATGTGGCACCATTCTGGGTTCTGTCCACTGATGAGATGCCTTGTCAGCACCCAACTTAATTTGCCTCACCCCTTCAACATATTGTAATACCAAATTAGATCCCCTCTAGACTCCTTAGACTGACTTAGACCCAAACTCAGAGGTGAGTTTAAGTGAATCTCCAAGAATATAAAATCATGTAATTTACACCTTCTTCTGGCCTTCTCATTGTATGTATAAATTATATCCATTTAGAGTCTTAGAGAGAAATTAATCTCTGGTGTAACCCTGTTGAAGTCATTAAAGTCGCACAAGGGATGAATTTGGCATTTGTAGGCTTAGTTTGAATCTTTTGTTCGGTTAGATTCCCACCCACTCACTGATGTGTCTTAACCCTTAATCTCTCTTCTGAATTTTGCCCCACTCCCCAAGTCTGAGTGCAAGAGATTCTAAGATGATGTAATTCACATGTCAGAGGGGTCAGAAAAGAAGCAAGAAAAGCAACTAACAGGAGAGTGTAGAAATGTGTGAGCTGAAGTAGGCTTACTTTAATTTATCTTTTTCCGGCTCATTGGTGTGTAAATTACACCAAATTAATTACTCATTGGTCAGTTGATTTAAATAACTGTAATGGAGTCTAACTTACACCACCTAGTACATTACCCCTGACTCTGGCTCTGTGGTTGGAGAGTGTTTCTGTGTGTGTGTGAGAGAGAGAGAGAGAGAGATTGGGATACTAATGTGTTGGTGTTTAAGGAATTCTTATGGCAAATCTTACATATAATATGGATGGAGCCAGGACACCAGACCACTTGAGAAACAAAATAACACACTGGACACATGAATCAAGCGTCGTCTCTTTGATCAGTCCAGCAACATTCTGTAGTTGTCTTATTTACGTGGTATATTTTGTGTTCTTTGCCAGACTGTTTCTGGGAGCAGATGTGATTACCAATAGCACACCCACCAAAGAGCAGCCCAAATCTACTCCAAGTGGGAGCTCTGGTGAAAGCATGGATTCTGTCAGTGTATCATCGTGTGAGTCGAACCACTCTGAGGGTGAAGAAGTCTGCATCACCCCCATAGACACTCCTGATGAGCCTCAGAAAAAGGTACAGTGTAGACCCTTAGTTCAGAAGGCTTGCAGCATGAATACCCCTGATGAATAGTTGACCCTTCTAGTATAAGCAATAGCTGAAATTTCAGTTGCATTGCGCACTCATGTCTACTCTTATAACTGACCAAGGCACTACTTGCTTGGTCAGTATCCTTGGAAATGGGAGTATCCTTAAAAATAGATGTGATGAAAGTAGAAAAGATCCAGGTCAGGCTTTTTATACGATTCCTTTTATGAGCAGCTTTTGGGTGTTGCCAGATCTATAGCATGTACACAGGGGGAACCATTTTTAATTTCTTGGGATCAGCTTTTCTTGTGGGGTCTGGAGGGATTTTTAGGTAGTCATGTGGCCATGTAACAGCACTAGATCTGTCTCTCTCAACACACCAGTTGTGGGAGTGACAGAGCTGTCTGTAATGGCATGTTTATGCTGGGAGGTTATTGGCTTCCTGGCAGTTGGACCAACAGACTGAAGAGTGTGTGTGCAAATATCAGATTGCTTGCGGTATTCCCGAGGCCCAGCGGATAGGATAATGGCAGTGAGAGGAAGGGCCTAGAGGATTTCCATTCTCCCTTTTTTTAAAAACCAGGGGGGCAAAGCCTTGTGGAGGTGAATGGAACCAGCCACAAGCATTTCCTCCTGGAACTTCTCAGGTTGAATGAGCTCATCTGCACTTAGCCTTAGGGTGGTTGGTCTTTCTATTGATCCCCTGGTTCTGCTACAGAGTTGCCTCCAGTGGTTCAGCATGGTGAAAATGGCTATGTCCTCACTTCAGAAAAGGCAGGGTTTTTTACAGTGCAATAGCTCACCCGCATTAACTACACTTCTGTAAAACCCTGGAAGAGGAAGGTTCCTGTGGTTTTTACAGTGAGGGAGGTAGGTGAGGTCAACACTATCCCCCTGCTTGTGGTTGACCTCACCTAGTTCGCCATGCAGTAAAACTGCTGTGCTTTGTCTCCACTAGGATTTTACAGCAGGATAGCTAATGTGCATTTGTTATTCTGCTGTAAAACCACACCAGTTTTTGGCAATGAAGACAAAGCCTAAAGCACTGTGCAGGGGAAGCTGGGGACGTGTGGAAGTGGGTAGCCGCACTGACACAAAAAGGTGTGGGTAAATGATTCACAATAAGGTAGATTCTGCCCATACTGCAGGCCCTGGGGAGACTCCACCAATATGGCAGGAGGAGAGAAGAAAATATCAAAATGAGAAGCCAATCAGAGGGGAATTGGAGAAGGGAAAAACCAACAGTGAGGCCTTGTCTACACACACACTTGCACCGGTTTAATTAAACTGCTTCAGTCAAACTGGTGCAAGCGCCTCTGTGGACTCTCTTATTTCAGTGTAAGAGTCCTTTGAGTGATTGCACATGTGCATTCCACTCTTGTGTCTGTGCCCCCAGTGCACGGCCCTCGGAAACTTTTTCCCTCAGCGGCACCCATTGGGTGGCTCAAGCTCCCCCTGCTGCCGCATGCCACTGCATGCAAGTATAAAGGGCAGAGCTGCCCCTTGTCCTTCTTACGACCCATGATGGTCATTGGAACTCTGTTCTATACCAGAACAGTTATCCTCTTGGCCTTTATAAACATAGTCTGAGCGTGTGTATATACATATATATAGTTAGTCCTATTCTCACCCACCGCAATGCTTGTTAGACGTGACAGCAACTAATCAGAGAGAGTGTTAAGTGCACCAGGCTGCTACCCTCAAATCAAAGGCTGAGTTGCCAGTGAGGAAAAGGGTGTTTTGGGGATATTTGACTGTTTGTGTTTCACCTAATAAAAGAGCCTACTTCCCTTTGATATCTGCTGACGTACCCCTGCTGTTAGGAGCTTCTTCCTAAACCAGTTTCCGTCTGTAGTCTGGCATCCCACAACTTCCTTTGGTTTGTTGTATCTGCTGCCACCTGCTGGTCTGTTCTCCAAGGAGCAGCAGAAAACGAAAAGGGTATATAGTAGTGGAGTCCAGCAGCACCCATACCGGACAGGGTTGGCGGGTGGGAAGATTTTTAATGTGAATAGTAAATTGTCAGATTACTCCTTGCAGAGGTGAGAATGCCACTAAGAACTTTAGAAACCTGGCATAGATTTTACAGTAACTGAATTCCTGATTGTGCCTCTCTCGCCCCTCCCCCACCCCGGAAATGACAATTCCGTGGTCATGTTTCTAATTGTATGTTGTTTTTTCTTATTTTTTTTTTCATTACTTAGCTCTCTGAATCCTCCTCCTCTTGTTCCTCTATCCATTCCATGGACACGTCTTCCTCAGGGGTGTCATCTTTAACCAACACTATCTCACCCCCTCCTTCCTTAACCTCCAATCCCAAGATCCACAAGCGCTCCATCTCCGTCACATCCATTACCTCAGCAGTATTGCCTCCTGTTTACAACCAGCAGAATGAAGACATGTGCATCATCCGGATCAGCATAGAAGACAACAATGGCAATATGTACAAGAGTATCATGGTCAGTGATGTGGAAGAGCTAAATGTTTTTATTAGTACTGAGATGTTTTTGTTCAGGGTGACCAATTATATGCAAGGTCTCAGCCTTGGTGCAAATCAAAGCAGCTAAATTTTAAATGCTAAGGGCCACATCATGCCCTTGATTCTTGCATTCCAGTATTCACAGTATGTTCCATCTTCTGAACTCCCCCTGGGGTTTCAGTTGGCTCCAGTTCATTGCTTGTCCCAAATTGTTGTGTCATGCTAGTGGTAAATGTGCACTGCATTCCACTTTTAGCGGTAGCTGCATTTTAGTAGTGGACACTCCCACTGCTCCACACACCCATTACTCCCCCCACACACATCCCTCTTGAGTTTCAGTTCTTTTGAGTGAAAGATGTTATTTAAACAATACCTAGCACTTAGCTATATAGGGATCTCAAAGGGAATATAATTGTAAGGTGGTGTTATAATACAATATCCTTCTATCATATCAAATCTATTTCTAATGCATCCATCATTATGATATTTGGATTTTAATCATAATCTTTGTCCCAAATTCAAAGTTTTATTTGTATTTATTAGAATTAGTAGAAAAATCAAAATAAGTCTTGTGAAAATTTCAAACAGGGTTTTATTGTATGGGTTTTGGAAACTGATCTATTTTTAGTTTATCAAAATTTTCCCCAGAGATTTTCAACAACTGTAATAAAAACACTTTTTTCAGTATCAAAGACTAAAATTTTTAAAAATAAATATTTTTGATTTTGAAAAAATCTCATCACATGATTGAGCGGATGAGTCAAAACTGGCACTGGAAAGGAAGCCCTGAAGCTAGAAAACCAAAATGGCAAATGGAACCCCCCTCTCTCCCCAAATCATAAATAATTAAAAACAATAAAGGAAAATTGAGAATGAAAATTTTTAAAAAGGAAAAATACTGAGAATATAAGAATATTTTTCTGAAAATTTCATTGTGAAAAATGTTCAAATTTCATCCCAATTTTCTCCAAATGAAAAATGTTAACCAGTTCCGGTGTTAGTTTGGGGGATGGAAGATATAAATAACAAATTTTTATACTTGAGGTTTGAAACTCAAAGAAGGAATGTGGCAGGTTTCACTGAGATTGCATGTCCCAACTTTCTGCCTGGAAGGAATTTTTTTTTCTCAGTACCCCCCTGAAACTAGTGACTGTACAATGGAAGGTCTGACAAGCTGTTGAACTGAGCAGTGTTCCCTCTACAATGAAAACTACTAGCAAGTGTGCAGCAATGCTTTCATCCTATAGCTCCATTTGGAATCCCTCTCATCCAGGTATAGATGATCCTCTGTGAAACATTTCCATTTAAAGGGAAACTGTCAAGATATAAACCGTGGACCAGATGCGCAGCCGTGCAGCTGCTGCTGGCACAAAGTGGTAGCAAAGCTAATGGATCTAAGCAATGCTCTGATGGCACAGGATTGCTATAGTCGCTTCTTTATCACTCCCTCATTCCAGCTTGCAGCAGAGTGGTCATGATTGGGACTCTGTTATGTCCAGGGGATCCCAGTTGATGGAATGATCTCATACAGCTAGAGACATAGAAGAGAGCAGCCTTCATGGTGGTCTCTTATATCAGGGACTGACAAGACTTAGAGGCTCTAGGATTGGTGGCAGCATATACATCAAAGCATGTACAACAACACTTTGTAAATGTCACTATTGACGATGCTATCAGTAAAAACAACAAGGAGTACTTGTGGCACCTTAGAGACTAACACTAAAACCCACTTCATCAGATGCATGGAGTGGAAAATACAGTAGAGAGGTATAAATACACAGTACATGAAAAGATGGGAGTTGCCTTCCCAAGTGGGGGATCAGTGCTAACGAGCCAATTCAATTAAGGTGGAAGTGGGCTATTCTCAACAGTAGAATACCAAGGGAGGGAAAATCACTTTTGTAGTGGTAATGAGGCCAATGTAATCAGGATGGCCCATTTCAAACAGTTGACAAGAAGGTGTGAGTATCAGCAGGGGGAAATTAGTTTTGTCAACTGTTTGAAATGGGCCACCCTGATTACATTGGCCTCATTACCACTACAGACCAACCCGGCTACCACTCTGAAACCTGATGCTATCAGTGTTTCTCTGGACTGGGCCATTTTCCTATGTTGACTTCTTTACATACCTCACTTATGCCTCACCCACAAGCCATGGAACAAACACTCCATGTATTTATTTATATATATTTTGAATGGGTGAACCAAATAAATATTTTGCAACTTGCAGGACACCTTTTTTTAAAGGAATTGATCCCTCAGGTGCTGCAAAGAACAGTGAACTATGGGCCTGAACCAAATCTCACTGAAGACTATAGGAATTTTTCTACTGATTTCAGAGTGCTTCAGATGAGGCCTAGATTCATAGATTCTAGGACTGGAAGGGACCTCGAGAGATCATCGAGTCCAGTCCCCTGTTCTCATGGCAGGACCAAATACTGTTAATTCAGTTAGTTCAGAACAAGTGACACTTCCACGGCAGACTGCAAACTAGGTACAAGGCCAAAAAATCTTCACAAGATTTCAAAGCAAGTATTTACCCGCTTAGATTCCAAATTAATTGTTGCCTATGAGCAACAGATGGAGAAATTATTTATGTGGAAATTTTAAGCCTAGTACAAATGACACCTCATCTCTCAACACATTTGCTCAAGGGAGCTGTTATTTACTGATCTCTCAGTTGATGCAGTATCTATCTTCCTGCATAAAACAAATTATTTAAAAAAAGTCATAAGTAACACATTTTAGTGCCCACCAATAGCTACTATCTAATTCCTAAGAGGCAATAGTTTCTTAGTGCTTTGGGAAACTCACCCCTAGACCCAGTGATGCAGTCAAAGCAGACTTTTATACATCAATTACAATGTTTAGATAATAAGTAAAGTGAAGAAGAAAAAATCCTCATTGCAAAATTCTTTTTCCAGTTGACTAGCCAAGACAAGACTCCGGCTGTCATTCAGAGAGCTATGTCAAAACACAACCTGGAGGCTGACCCAGTCGAGGATTATGAACTTGTTCAGGTCATCGCTGAGGACAAAGGTAAGAAAACACCAATACTTGCTGCTTAAAAAGTTCTTCAGATTTTGCAGGAAGAAAGTGAATACGAAGCAACTTCAGAAACACAGTGGATTTTTCTTCAGTCAGTCAGTTTCGGTAGATCTGTGATTGCTTCATTGATCACTACAGGCCTGTCCTCCACTTTGGACATGAGCAAGTGCAGAATGGGAGGACGTACAATCCGAGATCCCAGCTTCAGAGTGTAAAGAGACATGAAGTTAGGGCCATACGGGAATGAACAAAGAGCTGGGAGTGTAGCATGCAGATTCCATGCTGCCAAAAAGTCACAGGGAACACCTGGCCATTTCCCTGAGATCTCGGGACATATGATTTGCCTAGCTGCATACTCCTCCCAGCCTGCCCCTGCACTGACAGCATGGCAGTTTCCCATTAGCTGGATCCACCATCTATGTGTTCCCACCCTCTTCAATGGCACGTGCAAGCCACCACGGGGAAGTTTGTCCTGCCTTGAACAGCAGTGGTCTCTGCAGCAATTTGCAATGAAAATTCTCTTGCAGTACAGCACAGAGAGCAGCTGCTCCCTGTCTCCCCCTCACTCAGCCAGGCCTGATTCCTTTTTATCCACAGAGCATTGAACACAGAGGGTTAGCGTGCAGGTATTTCCTCGCCCTGCACCCTCACCTTCTGGCTGTCTGATTTCACTATCCTTTGAGTCCCTACCATGGTACAGAGTGGAGTGAAGCAGAGCCTCACTGCCTCCCTATATAATACAGATCCATGAAGTAGCCAGCATGACTAGGCACGTGCAAAGCAACGCCTCCATGCAGGAACACAAGAGTTGCCACACTCAAACAGACTATCTGGAGGTCTGTCTAGTCTACTATCCTGGCTCTCACAGTGGCCAGTACTAGATGCTTTTAGCCTGCCTAAATTCCCAGCAGTTTAAAAGGGGCACAATATACTTTACTTCCTGTTCTTAACTGCTGTGCATTATGGCTGCACACTGTTAAATAGATGTGCTTCACCCCACACAAGGCTACGCTTCAGTGATCACTGAAATGATTCCTCTACTGCAGGGGTAGGCAACCTATGGCATGCGTGCCAAAGGCAGCATGCAAGCTGATTTTCAGTGGCACTCACACTGCCCGGGTCCTGGCCACCGGTCCAGGGGGAGTCTGCATTTTAATTTAATTTTAAATTGAAGCTTCGTAAACATTTTAAAAACCTTATTTACTTTACATACAACAATAGTTTAGTTATATATTATAGACTTATAGAAAGAGACCTTCTAAAAACGTTAAACATTAAAATGTATTACTGGCACGCGAAACCTTAAATTAGAGTGAATAAATGAAGACTGGGCAAACCACTTCTGAAAGGTTGCCGACCCCTGCTCTACTGTATGCAGTTTGTGAATCTATTGGTAAAGCATATTAAGATCCTTTTCCATATAAGATCATTATTATGTATTATTACTAGAGTTAAAGATCAGGTGGCTAAAGCATAGTTTAGAGTCACTATAGGGATGATGTAAAAATGGTTTTTATACCTTTGTGCTTAGACCCTGATCAAGCAAGGTACTAGGTATGTGCCTAAATTTGAAGCATGTTATTCCACTGGTGTCCACTTAATGCCCCTACTAGCTCTCTATGAATTCTGTCCTATTAATGTGCTGAATTAAAAGTAAGGTGTTACTCCTGTAATCCCTGGAAGCCCATTCAGGTGCAGAACAAATTGGATTCTCTTCTGCCTAATGAATCCTCTACAAACTTGTCATCTAAGCTCTGGTTCTGAATCCTTATTCTGGGCGATGGATGTAAGAGGCAGAAAGAACCCAGCCAGGTTTGTCAGATGCCAGGTGGAGTTCTAGGTCTGGTAGTTAGAAAAGGCTTGTTTGAACCTATAAATTGGGCTGATTTGAACTGCTACCGAAGGATAATGACCCACGATGTGGGTGCTGTGCTCTCACATTTCTAACCATGACCTCCATGTCAGGAAATCACTATATTAGCAAAGCTCTGCCTCATTCCCCAGGATCAGTCAGTCATGCTATGCAGACCCAAGGATGTATACCAGACATGAAAAAGCAGCTCTCTCTGAGAGCCTTTTCATTAGTATCTGTTGGAGGCATTCCTGCCCGCCGCTTCCTCCCTGCCCAGGGCAAACCTCGTGGGACACTTCATGACTATGCAAAAGAGGGAATGATTTATTTAGGGCTGTGAAATTGCATTTAGTCTCAGCTGCTGCAGAGATTCCTTGAGCTGCCACGCAGGGAAGCTATTTATTGATAGTCTACTAGCCAGATTTATAAAGGGGTCTTGTTAATGAGTTAGGGTAACCCATCAGCTAGAAAAATGTCATTGCTATCACAGCCTAGGCACATATCTGGTGATCGTCAACAGGGCGGCTGTAGATGGTGGAAGTGGTGCTGTTTTTCTGTATCACGTAATGTATAAACATTTTCAGGCATCCAATCAAAAAAAATTGTTAAATCGCAAAAAGGGCCATAACTCGAAGAAACATAGTCTGATTTTGACCAAAATTGGCAGATAGCTGCATTATCAATTGTATTTAGAAGCTATGTACTTAAAGTAGTACTGTTTTGGAAAAATTGGGAAATATTTAGCCCCATGTGATATACTTTATGCATTTTCACATACTTTTTTGCCATTGGTTAAAGCAAAAGTCTGTAGTCATACGACAGTATGAGCTTGTTTGTACCATGTAATTTATCAAAATAATTGTCATTCTTTGTAGCATGGATTGATTTGAGGGGGAAAAATTGCTATTTTACATTTTATGAATATTGGCTACTGTCCAATAACTCCTTCACAGGCAACTGATGTTAACACAGTGCACACCATGATGAAATATTTTCAGAATATGTTCCACTCTCTGAGCCAAAACTGGACCTGTGTCGTGTATGGTGAAGCAATCTACTGCAAAGCACTGTTGATTAAATGGAGGAATCAAAACAGATTTGACAATGACCACCTTAAGATGGGGGGCATTCATCATGCAGCAAATTTCATGGGTGATACAGCGTCTATGGTGCTTCAGCCATGCTCTAAGAGGGAAGGCATATAGCCATGGCATTAGAATCCATAAACTTATGAATGAGGCGATGACTTGCTTGAAGTAGGTGGCACTTGGCAATTCCATGAACATTGATGTTCTCCCAGAAGATAAGAAGAGACACATCTTGGAGAAGGCTCGAACACACGTTGAAGCTTTTGAAGATGTGGAGCCAGGCACACTGAGAAAACAGATTGGAAGCACAGAATGCTCTGGCAGACTTGATGAACAGCTCCCAAGCATTGCACCAGCTCATGGACACTTACTTTACCAAAGGGAAAAACTGTTCAGATACATTTCCATCCTGGGAAAACTAGGTAACACATTGCTCCCAACCACTGATGGATTACATAGCAGCAAAGAGAGGCAATAACAAGTCCATGGAGCTTGAGACATTTGCAGAGATGATCCCACTGTGACAGTGTGGTCATATGAAATATGCCAGATGGGTTGTGTAAGTGTTAGCAGAAGCCAGATCTCTGGAGGAGGAAGAGAAGCCACATATATATCATGCCCTAGCAGATAGTCAGGAAGCAAGGTACCAGACTGCCAGACTCTTCAGTGGGGTACTTACACCGTGACATGGCTATTGAGCAATCTCTGAACAAGGACTGTAGGAATCATCAGCATCTTTGCACAAAAGATACGGCTCTGACCAAGGATTACCTGACTGCACGTTTTAAGGCAGCTGTAACAGCTGTGACAAAACAAAGGTGTGGAATTCAGCCTTCGATCTCCACAAATAAACGACTACAAAACCCATGGCTGCAGATGAAATTGTTGTCCAAAGTATCAAAAAGTGACTGAAAGAATGACAAATCCGTTTAGCATTGAACCTGGAACAAGCCCACACAACAGTCACTTGTGAATGTTGCAACATCTACTGTGGGCCCACCTGAAAGTGCAGAAGGTTTGTGCATGATGAGAGAGACTGGCACGCGATAAATGAAGCTGTTCGTAACCAGGAGGCTGCAAAAGGGCGAGGGAGACCTCTTTGAGCTCATAGAAAGGCATAATCACAAAGAATTTGGTAGTCTCAACAAAACAATCAAACAAAAGAAGAAGCAGTCAGCACAAGCGATAACTATTGATTGTCAAAAAGAACAGGAGTACTTGTGGCACCTTAGAGACTAACAAAACTAAGGTGCTACAAGTACTCCTGTTCTTTTTGCGGATACAGACTAACACGGCTGCTACTCTGAAACCTATTGATCGTCAGATATTCAGCAAGCTGACAGGTTTTTTGCCCAATCCAGAGATGTTGATATACAGGGTCTGATGACATGTGAGCTGGCACCTGTCCCACTTTCCCTCTTCAACTTGGGTGGATCTCTAAGAAAGACTCAAAAGAGCAACATACTGTCTTGACTGGAGAAAAATCTGTCAATGGTTGAGCTACCAGCATCTGATGAGCGAACGTCAGCTATTCTTGAACTCGGGATGCTTCTGCTGATGGTGTGCAATGATACTGCCAAGTGCAAAACTACTGGGGAGCTGTCTGATCAGCTGCTGCACACTATCCTCAGACTGCAATGTCCATACACTGCTATTGTGGGGGACAATTATGCAAATGAAGAATCAATCAAATCTGGTGAGAGAGCCCATAGGGGAAATATCCAAATGCAAGACGTTCGGAGCCCCTACTCTGTTCACACCATTACCAAAGCAACGCTTGCAGATGATATCAAATTCAAAAAATAAATCTAACATTGCAAACTTTCTTCTCAGTGACTGAATTGTGGAGTGTGAACAGAGATTGTCACCTGGTCGTTACATATAATGTCATTTATAAACTTGCTCCCAGTACCTACAGCATGAGCAGTTTTCAGGGCAAAGAGCAGATATGCTCAAGATGATATGACAGTCTAGAAGGGTTAGTTAACAAAGAACTGAGCAGTAGCTGAATCAAATAGTCCTTGCTCAGGATCACTAGCAAGATTTGAAGGTAGGTACCTGAGGTCCAACCCAATTACAGCTTTTTCAGAATCAGCAGCCTCTGGCTAACAGGTATCTTTATTGTACTGTAGTACAATCAGCAAGCATCTCTGGCTAATGTGTGCTACAAGTTTTTGCTAAGAACATCAAAACAAGTGAGAAACTGCCATCACCTTCAGGCAGCACCTGAAATGTGTAAATTATAATTCATAGACAGGAAATCATGCAACAGTTCAGTATCTTTAGGTGGCCACTGTCAACAGATGGGTGATGGATAGCATGGGACATCTTGTTCCTCAAATGTTGGTTCTGCCACCTGATCCAGAAACCATCTTTGCCTTTATGCAGCATAGCTGGGAAAATATCTGTGCAACAAAGAGATGCAAATACCACCACGAAGATTTGGTGTGCTGCAGTGCACTCAGTTGTGACAGTGACGAGTGTAGCAGAAGAGCACTGAATACATCAGAGACAGATTCCGAGGGGGAGTGGAAATGGTTCAGCTATCTGCAAATTACTGAGACTGTTTTTGAGAATAAATATAGCTCTGGGGAGTGTTGTATTAGACATTCGGTAGGTCATAGTTATATGTAGGCGTTATATAAGAGTATACGGTTATACTTGGTTATTTACACAATATATTCACATAAGATATTCTATAGTCCTTCTACTACGAATCATTACTGTTGTAGAAGTAGTTTACATGTATTGTCACTGCATTCAGTGATAGTAAGATGATCATTACAGTTGTACCACGTGTGCTTTAGGCTTATGTCTGGCCGAGTAGCTAATGTAAAAAATATGTTTTGTAATTAAGGGGTAGGGGGGCTTAGTATCTGCATAGATTCATAAAAATAGCAGACAAAACAAATCTTTGCTCACATCAGTCCATTCTATAAATGATGACAGATGTTTTGAGGTATTACATGGCACAAACAAGCTCTTGCTATCATGCGACTACAGGCTTTTACTCTAACTGAAGGCAAAAAAGTACAGGAAAATGCACACATGTTATCAGGGGCTAAATATGTCCCAAACTTCCCAAAGCAGTACTATTTTGAGGGCATTGGTGCATTATCAATTTATTTAGAAGCTTTCTGCCAATTTTGGTCAAAATTAAAATCTGCGTTATGGCCCTTTTTGTGATTTTCATGACTTTTTTTCCAATTGGATGCTGATAACATTTAAACATTATGGCATATAGGAAAACAGCTCCACTTACAACATCTACATCCACGCTGGTGTGATGACCACCACATATGTGCCTAACAGGGGGTAGCAATGACATGGTTACCTCTTAGTGTCCAAAACAGGTGTGGGCTGGTAGACTATGAGAAAAAGTCCCTAACGTAGTCCGCCTGGAAACCTTTCTTTCCTATTAATATATTTTACAGTGACACCTCACTGGTTCTCTTTTCCGGTAGGTCTCCCTACCGTGAAATGCATTAGTGGTGGTCGTATGTGTTGGGAGTGGCAACAGCTGGAGGTGATGCAGTGCTCACCCTGAGAAATACAGTTTCAATAGTCAGACAGAACTGCAGTGGGAGAGCCAGGCCCAGAACCTACAAACCACTTATGCACGTGCTTTGCTTTACTCATCTAATGTTTGCAGGATTAGGGCTTAAGAGTGTCTGGGGTTTTATTTTATTTTTTTGCGGGGGCTGAGGGCAGGGGGGCAGGGAGTCTATCAAAATCACTGAACACGTCTGCAGCGGGAACGGGGTTGTTACAGCTTCACATAAAAGGTAAAGCCAAATTCTATTAATAAAAACACCAAAGACATGCCCACACCCAAAGCCTACCAAACCACACACATCAAAATGCACTAAAAGCACATTAAGATTGCAAGGACAAGCACTTGACAGTTAGGAAATGTCAGACTTACAGTTTCCTATGCTGCAACCCTAATTCAGACCCCTTGCTCATCTGCATTATGCTAGTCTTTAATTACATGATCACGTTCTATTTCTCCCCCCCCCTCTCCCCCCACTGGAGTCTGAATTATAGTTCCATGGGCAACTAGTAAATGCCAGTTTTACAACTTTCAAGGGCTTGACTTTGCAACCTAAATAATGTTTTTTAATTTAGTTTTTTGTCACCATAACATGTCCCTGTTCACAAGGGGAAAGTCTGAGAGGACAAAATGCACAGCTGCCAAATCAGAGTCGCATGTGGGCATTGCAGCCAGATGCCGACATGAGATTTCTTTTCATGCTAGTAACTGTAGAATCAATACTATAGCACATCACCACTGACTTTGTTTCCTCTCTTTGCAGAGTTAGTCATCCCCGACAGTGCTAATGTATTTTATGCCATGAACAGCCAAGTGAACTTTGACTTCATCCTACGGAAAAAAAACTCCCTTGATGGGCAAGTGAAGATGCGGAGCCGATCTAGTTTGACACTTCCCAGAACTGCCAAAAGGGGGTGCTGGACTAACAGACAGAGCAAAATCACACTTTGAAGAGAATGAGCTAACACAAAGGAGATTTGGTTTAGAGAAAAGAAAAGACCTTTGATACCATCCAGTATTACAAAGTCACGGAAGATGAAGGTGTCAGTGTTTGACTTTGGAAAGATTTGAGACTGGAATGCAAAGTGTGCATTCACTATAGATACAGATAGAGATGAACATCGAGAGAGAGAGAGAGAGATTTATGGGACAGTCACTATGGAAATATATTTTGCACATTGGCCTAGGAAGGTGAGGTCACATATACAGGGAAAAATGGAATTGCCAACCAATCTTGTCTTAAGAATTCCACATAAGCTAAATCTCCTCCTTGGAAAACAGATTCTCCTTTGTGCCAGTATTACCTAGAACAAGAACTTTAAATTTATTTTTATACATTGGAGAAGAAAACTGTTGCAATTAAATTCCACCTGAATCAAGCAGGAGGATCTGAGCAGCCGTCAGCTGAATGATAACACCGATTTCCAAAGGGTGTGGATGAGTTGATGGCTGCTAGTTCCTCACCCTGTCTGACAAGTGTTGCCTCCAGGAGGCTTTCATGTCTGTGAAGAAGAAAGGAGGGTTGAGCCCCTCCCAAAACCCTAGTCTAGAGACACAAGGAAGAATTCAATTGTGTGCACGTAGGTTGGTTTCACAGAACTGACAAACATTTTTTGCAGTTGTTCAAAGCCAGAAAATACATTTTGGGGTTTTTCCAAAGAACATTAAGAAAATGGGCCATGGTTGCTTTTGGATGAATGTCATGTTTTGTTAATGAGCAAGGCAAGGAAACTCAACCAACGTTACTTCTCTGGACCTTGTTCACATCTTAATGCCACTACAGTGTGTTCTTCCTTAGGCTTACCTAATCTGTTTAACAGGAATCAAGGCCTTTTGCATGTACAGTTGCAAGTTCTCCAAATTCACTGATGTACCTCGTTGTAATGTGCAATCCCTCTTCAGGTGCAGAACTCTACATTAATCCACATTGATTCAGTGAGAGGCAACTATATTATTTTGTGTTTTAAAAGTGGCATAAGACAGACATGTTTATTATTCAGTGCCCAAAATTACCACAGATCTTATAAACTTGTAGCATTATTATACATAATCTTCAACCACCACCCTCTCTTATATGCTTCTATTAACTGAATAGTTTCCTGACATGGTACATCCTTCCAGATGGAATAGAGAATTTAACCTTCTGAAAAGGCTCCCATAGCTGCTATTCTCTGTGAAACTTTAAATGACGCATTTCTTAACTCGAAGATACAAGTCTCCCTTCAGAACACATGCATAATTAAAAGGTCACATAAAAGATTTTAATTGAAAGCCATAAATGACACATTGGATTGTAAGCAACACTCACAGAACAGATTGTCTTTTCAGAATACTAAAGTTGGTTAAAATTAACTCAGATCTTGAATTTTATACAAGTCTGGAGCATGTTTTACCAGTTCTGTAGCACTGATTGTCAAAGCTGGGCCTAGATTCCATTACCAAATAGCCATGATGTACCAATAAATGTCTTAAATGGTGTTGGGTCTTTACTATGTAAAGAATTATTCCCATTTAAAAGCCAGCTCATTCTCTACGGTTTGGGTATCTTAAATCTAAGTTGTATTTTTGTTTTGGGGATGAATAGATCCAGTTTTGAACTGAGCCTTAGATGTGTCTAGCGTTAGGTCAGGTTTACAACAGAACTAAAGTTCGGTTTCCTTTGTAGTTCAGTAAAGGCAATGCATGAATGTGTTGGTGAGTTTTACACTGTCTATACAGTATGGCATATAAAGCATAGCCCCTCACCCACACAATATATAGAACTACAAAATCTGGATTTTATATTGCCAAGGTTATGTTGTTGAACATGTCTTTTCCTTTCTTACAGGGAAAGAAATTGCTGTTGGATAAAACTGGTTTCATTTATTTAAGATGGGCAGTTTTAGAAGTAATTTCTCATGAACAAAATGTTTTTGTGATTCTCCTTCTGCTGATTCTTCATCAACCCTCTGGTTTTAGCTGCCATTAATATTTCACTGAAATCAGACCATTGGGCATTAGCTTGTGTGTGTTACCTAGCTGGCCCTGGAATGTTCAGCAGCTGTTAAGGATCTAGATCAGACATCCATAGCACAGTGGAGAAACAAATCATTTGAAAGAGAACAATCTAAAAAGGCTTTTCGGACAATTCAACTGCTGAATGACACCAGCGCGTATATTCGGTACTCAAGAGCTGCTTGGAATATTCTTGTCAAAAATTTTGACAGAAATGGGGAAAACATACATGTTCATGATTTATTTCTTCTTCCTTTTTTCCACCCAGCGTGATAGCTGTTTGGAAAATAGGCACAAAAAATGAGTATTCTACCTCTGAGCTACTGGATTGTTCCTTGCTAGAGACTACTGCACAAGCAGGGAAGCCGAGACCCAGCCACTTCCATTAGAGCAGCCAAAGCTCTTTCATAGAATCACAGAACTGAAAGGGACCTTAATAGGTTATCTAGTCCAGTCCCCATGGCAGAATTAAATGTTATCTAGATCATCCCTGAGAGGTGCTTGTCTAACCTGCTCTTAAAAAATCTCCAGGGATGGAGATGCCACAGCCTCCCTAGGCAATTTATTCCAGTGTTTAACTACCATGACAGTTAGGAATTTTTTCCTACTGTCCAATTTAAACTCCCCTTGGTGCAATTTAAGCCCATTGCTCCTTGTCCTGTCCTCAGAGGTTAACAAGAACAATTTTTCTCCCTCCTCCTTGTAACAACTTTTTATGTACTTGAAAACTGTTATCATGTCCCTTCTCAGTCTTCACTTCTCCAGACTGAACAAACCCAGTTTTTTCAATCTTTCCTCATAGGTCATGTTTCTACATTTTTGCTGCTTTCCTCTGGACTTTCTCTAACTTGTCCATATCTTTCCTGAAATGTAGCGCCCAGAACTGGATACAATACTCCAGTTGAGGCCTAATCTGCATGGAGTAGAACGGAAGACTTACTTCTCATGTCTTGCTTACAGCACTCATGCTAATACAACCTAGAAGGATGTTTGCTTTTTTTGCAACAGTGTTACACTGTTGACTCGTATTTAACTTATGGTCCACTATGACCCCCAGATCCCTTTCCACAGTACTCCTTCCTAGGTAGTCATTTCCCATTTTGTATGTGTGCAATTGATTGTTCCTTTCTAAATGGCGTACTTTGCATTTGTCCTTATTGAATTTCATCCTGTTTACCTCAGACAATTTCTCCAGTTTGTCCAGATCATTTTGAATTTTAATCCTATCCTCCAAAGCACTTTGTATTGTTCGCAAACTTTGTAAGTGTACTTTCTATGCCATTATCTAAATCATTGATGAAGAGAACTGGACCTAGGACCAATCCCTGCAGGACCCCACTTGATATCCCTTCTAGCTTGTGAACTACTCTCTGGGAATGGTTTTCCAACCAGTTATGCACCCACTTTACAGTAGCTCCATCTTGGTTGTATTTCCCTAGTTTGTTTATGAGAAGGTCATGTAAGACGGTATCAAAAGCCTTACTAAAATCAAGATATATCACATCTACCATTTCCCCCTCCACAAGGTTTGTTAACTTGTCAAAGAAAGCTATTAGGCTGATTTGAACGCAATGTGTTCTTGACAAATCCATGCTGTTACTTATCACCTTATTATCTTCTAGGTGTTTGCAAATAAATTGCTTAATTATTTGCTCCGTTATCTTTCCGGGTAATGAAGTTAAACTGACCGGTCTGTAATTCCCCCTTTTTATAGGCTGGCACTATAATTGCCCTTTTCCACTTTTCTGGAATCTCACCCGTCTTCCATGACTTTTTGAAGATAATTACTAATGGCTCAGATATCTCTTGATTCAGCTTCTTGAGTATTCTAGTATGTATTTCATCAAGCCCTACTGACTTGAAGACATCTAACTTATCTAAGTAATTTTTAACTTGTTCTTTCCCTATTTTAGCCTCTGATCCTACCTCATTTTCACTTGCATTCACTATGTTAGATGTCCAATCGCTACTAACCTTTTTGGTGAAAACTGGAACCAAAAAGTCATTTAGCACTTCTGCCACTCCCCCCATTGACTAATGGGCCTACCCTGTCCTTGCCCTTACTCTTGCTTCTAATGAATTTGTAGAATGTTTTTCTCAGTCCTTCGAGTAAGATGAGGGAAGGATATATATAAAGATGCATGAAGCAGCATATGGATTCCAGGCAGGACCCCATTTGTTACATGAGAGAGAGATGTGGTGTTTTGTAAAGCTCCAGTCCTCTTTTCTTCTGTCCCCATGACAGTCCGCACCAGCTCCTGCCCCTTTTTTTACCTCTGAAGTTTTCTGGAGTGGGTTGTGTTGAACTGTGAGCCATTTCAAAAATGCAGATCAAGTTTAGTCTGATTATGAAAAACAAAACTACAAAACACTACTGCACCCACACACAACCAGAGAAAGAGTTTTCTTTGGCTGTGATGCTGCAACCAGCTTAGCACAGGTGAACCTCTGTGTCTACACAGAGCTCATTACAAATGATCTGTAAGTTGTTTGGGGCAGGGCCTGTCTTGATATCTGTGTTGCATAGGACTGAGCATGTTCTTAACACATCCGCTAATAATAGGTTTCAATGAGATCTCCAAAAACATGCCATGTTTGAAGTTACTAGCTTCAGCTATTTTTTGACTTATGAATTCAGAGTGGAACATACAGGCAAGTGTGCTTTTTTCCTCTTAGATATGTATCACAAAAAATAAAGTGCATTAACTTTGCACTTCCTTTCCAAAAAGCCTTTACTTCTGCTTAAGCCAAAGCATGAACAACTGCCTCTAGAAAGGAATTCATTTGAAAGTAATGAGCAACTGCAAAAGGGAAGGGGGAGAAAAGTATTTATAATAGAGAAGTAGGAATGCAGTGTCACATCAGGATGTTCCTGCTCGCACTCTGCTCATACGTAAGTTTGGAAAGTAGCAGGTTGCTAGGAAAAATCGGTTTTATTTTGAAGGGAAAAGAGGTGAGGCCACACTGCAGCATCTAGCTAATAAAATAAGACTCATGAAATTATGCAAAAGTTGTTCTTTCCTTTTTCTGAAACTGGCATTTACAGCCCCTGCATCATTCACGGCATAGTAATGAAATGAAATGAAAACATTTTTGATGGATCAGTAAAAGTTTTGTTTCTAATAAAAACAAACACTCTGACCGTACTTTACCTACTCAAGCACCCACAACATTCAATGGCTGTGCTTAACTGAGATAGCGCTGCACCAATTTGAGAGCATCCTCTTATCAATCTGGGCCCCCATCTGATTTCCTTGCTTCATAAACAAAGTTTGTTGTATACAGCTGAGGCTGTGACACACAGTGCCCGGCCTGCCAAGCAGAAGCCTCACCTGCTAAAATGTAACAAGCAATCTTACACTCCCTGTCTCCTCATCCTCCAGCCAGGGGTTCCCCAACTTCTTTCTCCTGTGGTGCACCTGTGCAGTGGCAATAAGCACAGCGGCCCACTATTAACACTTTGTGAGGAAAATTACTATATACTGTACATGGAAACTGTATATACCAGCAGGTGGCTAGTACTCATGGGGTGCATCGTTCCACTACCCTTCAGTGCTGGGCCTGAGGGCAGGTGCCACCCCTCCTCCCCAATGGCAGTGCGCCCCAGGGGTGCCAGGCATCCTGCCCGGATGGTAAAAGTCTGCAGTAACCAGCCTCTGGCACCAGGGGTGGGGGGAAGGCAGCGCAGCCTGACGGAGAGAGCTGGCTGGCTCCTAAACCGGGCTCCAAAGTAGGTACTGGCGCTGTCTGGGTGTAACCTGTCTGCCCCGCCCTGATTTCCCCAGCCCCTCACTTCAGGGACCCCCACCCCGCCCTACTGTGCCCCAATTTCCCCTCCCTGGCCCCTTGCTCCAGGGACCAACCAACCCTGCTGTGCCCTGATTTCCCAACTCCAAGGACCAACACCCCACCCCACCCCTACTGTGCCCTGACTGCCCCGGCCCCTTGCTCCAGCCCCCGCCCCCTTCCCTGCTGTGCCCCGAGTTCTGGGGTGAGGAAATTGGGCAGAAAGGTTCCACATCAGCGCTTCCCCACCCTGCAGGTGCGTCTCAGGGGCTGGGGGAAACCGAGCAACAGGGCAGGGAGGAGAGTGTGTGACAAGGGGGGAATTAGGGCAAAAGCTCTGACCTTACCCTGCCCCAAATCGAGCCGAAGCACCATGTTCCCCCCACACACACACTTACCATCAGCAAGGGCCCTCTGCCCCCTAGGAACACTGGGGGGGGGGGCGGGCACGTGGCTGAGGGCCCTTGGTGTTGCCTCTCACCGGTGGCAGGCATGGCACATTCTGCTCAGCCCTGGGACTGCCACAGCGGCAGCACCAGCTCAGCCTGCACGGCCCAGATCTCCTGCAGCAGGCGGAGAGCCCCCCTTTCCCCCAAACAAGCTGGGGAGAAACTGAGAAAGGAAACAGAACCGGTTACCCCAGTCAGATCAGGGGCTCAGCCCCAGAGACCCCCAGCCAGGGCCTGGGGCAGAGGGGGTGTGTGGTGGTGGGGGGGGTAATACTGAGACCAGTTTGGTCCAAGATGGCTCACAAAGCCGGCTCACTGGGGGGGCCAGAAGCAGCGTTAATGGTGTTTCAGGAGGGGGGGACAGTCGGGGGGGGGGTGAGGTGTCGGAATGCCACATATCGGGGGGGCTGGGGCAGGGGACACCACCTATATCTCCCCCCCCCGCCCCCTTCACCTGCCAGCCCTGCCAGCGGATCACCCCGGATGTCTGTGTTGCGGCCCACCTTTGGGAACCCCTGCGGTAGCTCACAGTGTAATACGCTCACGGCAGCCAAAGAACAATAGCACGCAAGAAAGCAAATGAACAGTCAGCAAGTGTGCTTTAGACCAGGAGTTCGAAACCTTTTCTTTCTGCGGGCCCCCCCCATGCTATAAAAACCTCCAGGGTCCACCAGGGGTGGGGTGGGGGACTCGGGCTCCGGACCAGGGGGGAGGGAGGTGGGGCCTGGGGCATGGGACTTCTATTTGGGGGCGGCAAGGGCTGCCAGGGCTCAAGCCAGCTATGCACGGCAGGGAGCGCTATCTCCACCCCCCTGACTCATCTCAGCCGGCCACCCAGCCTTTCTGGGTTGTGGTGGGAACGCAACCAAAAACTGTAACTCAAAGGGGTGAACTTAGCTAAAAAAGTTTTAAAAACCGCTCAAGGGGTACCTAGGGGCTGTGTGCAGGCAGAGGGGGTAGCTCAGGGTGCAAGGAGGGGGTAGCTAGGGGCTGTGTGCAGGCACGGGGGTAGCTCAGGGTGCAGGGAGAGAGTAGCTAGGGGCTGTGTGAAGGGAGGGGGTAGATCAGCGTGCAGGGAGAGGGTAGCTAGGGGCTGTGTGCATGCAGGAGGGTTACTCGGTGCAGGGAGGGGGTAGCTAGGGGCTGTGTGCAGGCAACGGCGTAGCTCAGGGTGCAGAAAGGGGTTGCTAGGGGCTGTGTGCAGGCAACGGGGTAGCTCGGGGTGCAGGGAGAGGGGTAGGTAGGGGTGCGTGCAGGCAGGCACGAGGATTACTCAGGGTGCAGGGAGAGGAGTAGCTAAGGTATGTGTGCGGGCTGGGGATTCCCGCCCAATGGGAACGGCAGAGTTGGCACTTGGGATGTGGGCAGCATGCGGAGGGAGACCCCCCCTGACCCCCTCCTGCACCTAGGAGCTGGACATGCCACTTCCAGGAGTGGCGCGGAGCCGGGGCAGGTAGGGAGCCTGCTTTAGCCCCGCTGGACTTTTAGCGGCCTATTAAAATCTCCGAGATTGGTTTCAGCAGCCTCTGGGAGATCAAGGCCGATTCCAGGAGACTCCCAGCCAATCCGTGAGGGTTGGCAACCCTCCCTTCCGGGGACTATGCCCCGGCCAGCTGGCTTCATGCCCATGCTCCTTCTCGGTGAGCAACGATCACCAATGCTGCCTATTTCAGCGGTGACCATGTTATCAGAGCTAATACTTAGAGCACCGTTCCACCTCTCCAATAGTTGCTCTTCTCTGCTACCTAGCCCTAAGAACTCTCATCTACCTCCCCCTTTATGCAAATACTGTACACGTACAATGGAGATGTGCCAAACCGGGGACTTTCCTTCTGCAAAATGTCCTTCCCATTGTGGTTTCCAGGGATTGCTCCCGTCTAAAGCAGTGTTACAGCTGAATTGAAGAGAAATGGCTATTTGCACTATGAAACACATGCTAATATCAGTATTTCCATATTCTTCCTGGGCCAAGCCACCTATACTCAAAACCTGCCCCATCTCTGAGGGAAGCATGTGAAATCTTTGTGACTCTGTGTTCACATGCATAATGAAATGTGAAAGAACCTGATTTCTTGCATGGTTTTCCCTTTCTAGCCCCGACTACTTTAAAACTGATGTTTAGTTTCACTGTTGTTCTCCAAGTGGGCTTGCACAAAGGGCCTGCTCCTGCTCCCGCACTGACGTCCATGTCAAGATTCGTATTGACTTCAATGGGTTAAGGCAAAGCCCCTTCTGATGAGCTGCAGTACCACCATGATCTGCGTGTTTATATTTTTCAAATCATGCTTTTAAAACAGCAGAGCAGAAAGCAAGCAGTGTCTCGCTGAACAGTGCCACCTGCTGGCCAGCCAGGCTCAAAATGGACGTCAGGTCTGCCCTGCGGGCTGGAGAATAAAGACCTGAATATGGGGATGGAGGCTTTATAAAAAGGGCAAAACAACACAATTTGTGGCAGGGCTTGGCAGTTCATAGCCCTGGCACCTCTGGGCTTGCTGCATCAGTTATGAATGCAAAAAAATTGTTTGAGCCCCCAGCATCTAATTACTTGAGCTCTGGCACCTATTTCATTAGAAATTAAGTAGTAGGGGAAAAACCCCAAATCATTGACAATGGCCCAAGGATGACCCACAATCCTAGGGTTACCATACCTCCGGATTTTCCCGGCCATGTCTGGCTTTTTGGGCCTCAAATCCCTGTCCGGGAGGAAATCCCAAAAAGCCGGACATGTCCGGGAAAATAGGGAGGGAGGGCCCGGTGCTGGGGCCGGGGCCAGCGGTGCTCGGCCGGGGGCCGGGGCCGGGGCGGGACCGAGCAGTGCTCGGCTGGGGGCCGGGGCCGAGGCCCACGCCGGGGCCAGCAGTGCTCGGCCGGGGCTGGGGCCGGGCCGGGGCCGAGCAGT